GCTAGGTTTTTTTCTAGGTTGTTCTATTGGTTTTAGGTCTAACATTTAAGTTTTAAATCCATCTTGAATTAATTTTTGTATAAGGTTGATAACGAAAGGGTCCAGTTTTCAGCTTTCTACATATGGCTAGGCAGTTTTTCCCAGCACCATTTATTAAATAGGGATCCTTTCCCCAATTTCTTGTTTTTGTTTCCAGGTTTGTCAAAAATCAGATGGTTGTAGATGTGTGGTATATTTCTGAGGGCTTCTTCTGTTTTGAGTTACTAGTACCAGGCTGTTTTTGGTTACTGTAGGCCCCTTAGGATATAGTTTTGAAAGTCAAGGTAGCGTGTGCCTCCAGGCTTTGTTTCTTTTGGCTTAGGATTGTCTTGGCATTGATGGGCTCTTTTTTGCAACAAAAGCAAAATTGGACCCAAATTGGGTGATCTTAATGAAAACTAAAGAGCTTCTGCACAGCAAAAGAAACTACCATTCAGGTTGAACAGGGCACCTACAGGGAAATGGGAGAACATTTTTACAAATTCGTACCATCTGACAAAGGGCTTTAATATCCAGAATCTACAAAGAACTTAAAACAAATTACAAGAAAAAAAATCAAAACAAACCCCATCAAAAAGTGGCGCGGAAGTGATTATGGAACAGACACCTCTAAAAGAAGATATTTATGCCAACCAACAAAACACATGAAAAAATTGCTTCATCATCCACTAGGCCATCAAAGAAATGCAAATCAAAACACAATGACGATTACCATATCACAGCCAGTTAAAAATGGCAATCATTAAGAAGTCAGGAAAAACAGAGTGTTGGAGAGGATGTGGAGAAACAGGACACTTTTACACTTGCTGGTGGACTGATAAACTAATTCAACCATTTGTGGAAGACAGTGGCAATTTCCTCAAGGATCTAGAACTAGAAATTACACGTTCTGACCCAGCAATGGTATCGCTTGAACCCAGGAGGCAGAGGTTGCAGTGAGCTGAGGCCATACCACTGCACTCCAGCCTGGGTGACAGAGTGAAACTCCGTCTCAAAAAAAAAAAAAAAAAAAAAAAGTGGCCGAGCACAGTGGCTTACACCTGTAATCCCAGCCATTTTGGGAGAGCAAGGGGAACAGACTGCTTGAGCCCCAGAGTGCAAGACCAGCCTGGGCAACACGGTAAAACTTCATCTCTAAAAAAAAAAATGCAGTAAGTTAGCCAGGTCTGGTGGTACAAACCTGTAGTTCCAGCTACTCAGGAGGCTGAGGTGGGAGAATCTCCTGAGCCCAGGAGGTCAAGGTGGCAGTAGGCTATAATTGTGCCACTGCACTCCAACCTGGGTGAGAGAGTGAGACCTTGTCTCAAAAAAACAAAGAAAATTTTAAAATTTCTTGAAACAAATGAAAATGGAAACACAACATACTAAAACCTACAGGATACGGCAAAAACTGTACTATGAAGAAAGTTTACAGCAAATGTGCCTACATCAAGAAAGTAGAAAAACTTCAAATAAACAACCCAACAATGAATCTTAAAGAACTAGAAAAGCAAAACCAAACCAAACCCAAAATTAGTAGAAGAAAAAGATCACAGCAGAAATAAATTAAATTGAAACAGAAAACACACAAAAAATGAAAGGAAAAAAAATTTGGTTTTTTGAAAAGATAAACAAAATGGACAAACCTTTAGCCAGACTAAGAAAAAAAGAGAGAAGGCTCAAATAAATAAGATCAGAGATGAAAACAAAAGAGACATTACAAGCAATACCACAGAAATTCAAAGGATCATTAGAAACTACTGGCCAGGCATGGTGGCTCACGCCTGTAATCTCAGCACTTTGAGAGGTCGAGGCAGGCGGATCACTTGAGGTCAGGAGTTCAAGACAAGTCTGGCCAACATAGTGAAACCCCATCTCCACTAAAAATACAAAATAAAACAATACAAAAATTAGCCAGGCATGGTGGCAGGTGCCTGTAATCCCAGCTATTGAAGAGGCTGAAGCAGGAGAATCACTTGAACCTGGGAGGCGGAGGTTGCAGTGAGCCGAAATTGCACCATTGCACTCTGCACTCTAGCCTGCTGGATGACAGGGTGAGACTCCGTCTCAAAAAAAAAAAAAAAGAAAAAAGGAACTACTACGAGAAACTATGTAACAATAAACTGGGAAACCTAGAAGAAACCGCTAAATTCCTAGAAACACACAACCTACCAAACCCAAACCATAGAACAGCAAGTAACAAGATTGAAGCAGTAGTAAGAAGTCTCCAAGCCAAGAAAAGCTCAGGACCTAATGGCTTCACTGCTGAATTTTACCAAAGATTTAAAGAACTAATACCATTCCTACTCAAATTATTCTGAAAAAATAGAACAGAATACTTCCAAACTCATTCTATAAGGCCAGTATGAGCCTGATACCAAAACCAGACAAAGACACATCAAAGAAAGAAAATTGGCCAGGCGCAGTGGCTCATGCCTGTAATCCCAGCACTCCAGCACTTTGGGAGGCTGAGGCAGGTGGATCACCTGAGGTCAGGAGTTCAAGACCAGCCTGGCCAACATGGTGAAACCCTGTTCCTACTAAAAATACAAAAAAATAAGCAGGGCATGGTGGCGCACACCTGTAATCCCAGCTCCTTGGGAGGCTGAGGCAGGAAAATTGCTTGAACCCAGCAGGCAGAGGTTGCAGTGAGCCGAGATCATGCCACTGCACTCCAGCTTGAGCAACAAGAGTGAAATTCTGTCTCAAAAACAAACAAACAAACAAACAAACAAAAAAAACGAATTCAACAACACATTAAAAAGATTATTCAACATGACCATGTGGGATTCATACCACCCACGGAGACAAGGATAGTTTCAAATAAACAAATCAACCAATGTGATACAGCCTATCAACAGAATAAAAGACAAAAACCATATGATCATTTCAATTGATGTTGAAAAAGCATTTGATAAAACTCAGTATCCTTTCATGATAAAAAAAAAACTCTCAAAAAATTGGTTATAGAAGAAACATACCTCAACACAAAAAGAGCTTTATACAACAGACCCATAACACAGTGTTTTCCCCATTTAGTATTACATTAAAAGGCTTCCTCTAAGATATGAAACACAGCAAGAATGCCCACTTTCAATACTGTTATTCAACATAGTACCAGAAGTCCTAGTTATAGCAATTACATAACGAAGAAATAAAGGCATCCAAATTGGAAAGAAACTAGTCAAATTACTCTTATTTACAAATGATATGAGGCCAGGCATGGTGGCTCATGCCTGTAATCCCAGCACTTTGGGAGGCCAAGGTGGGTGGATCACTTGAGGTCAGGAGTTCAAGACCAGCCTGGCCAACATGGTGAAAACCCCATCTCTACCAAAAAATACAATATGAGGCCAGGCATGGTGGCTCATGCCTGTAATCCCAGCACTTTGGGAGGCCAAGGTGGGTGGATCACTTGAGGTCAGGAGTTCAAGACCAGCCTGGCCAACATGGAGAAAGGGTGAGACCCTGTTTCAAAAAAAAAAAAAAAAAAAAAAAAAAGAAAAAGAAAGAAAGAAAAAAAGAAAGAAAAAAAAAAAAAAAAAAGGACTAATAAATTCACTAAAGTTTTAGGATATAAAATCCATATACAAAATCAGTAGCATTTCCATATGACAACAATGACCTATCTGAAAAAGAAATGAAAAAAGTACTCCCATTTATAGTATCTACAAATAAAATAAAGTACTTAATAAGTTAACCTAAGGTTAACCTAATAAACTTAACCAAAGGAGTGAAAAATCGCTACAACTAAAACTATAAATCACTGATGCAAGAAATTAAAGAGAACACACACACACACAAATGGAAAGAGGCCAGGCATGGTGTCTCATGTATGTAATCCCAGCACGTTGGAAGGCCAAGGTGGGAAGACTGCTTCAGTGAGCCAATGGGTCCAAGACCAGGCTGGGCAACATAGCAAAAAGCTGTCTCTACAGGAGAAAAAAAAAAAAAAATTAGCCGGGCCTGGTGGCATTCATCTGCAGTCCTCAGGCACTAAGGAGACTGAGGCGGGAAGATCTCGTGAGCCTAGATGGTCAAGACTGCAGTGAGCCGTGACTATGCC